CAGCTGCGCCTGGCGGGGGTGGGTCTGCGGGGCGGGCGGCGGCCTGGAGGAGGCGGGGGGCGACAGCGCTGCGGCGGCGGCGGCCAGCCAGACGACGGCGGCCACGGCGAGTTACGCGACGAAGGGGAGAGGGGCCGCCGCCGTCGTCGTCGCCCAGCGCGGGGCCGCCGCTCCTGCTCCCGCTCGCAGACGTAGCGGGCGCGGCAGATCCCGCTGACGGGCCCGCCACATCCCTGACCTAGCTGTCCGTTGTGTGCAGCGGGCCCCCATGAATCACCAAGGTTCTCGGCGTTCAGCAAGAAGGCCGCGCTGTCCAAGTCGGCGTCGTAGTCTTGCGTTTCGCAGTCGGACGTATCCTGGCTGACCTGAGTTGGCCCTTTGTGCCCGTGGTCCTGGTGGACCTGGGGTTTACCTGGTGCTTGTTTGTCGGTGGCCTGGGCGGGTGGACCGTCGGGTGGAGTGCCTGTGCCCCGCTTTGAGCGATCGATTTCGACGACTGTTTAGCCCTCTTGTAACTTTGACGGAGATTATGCACCCGTCCCTGGGGATGCGGGAGTGGCAGTGCACTGGTCGACCAGTTGTTGGCCCCCTGGGTGGTGAAGTGCCCGCCATTCGCCTGGGCGGCAAAGCTGGGTGCCTCACTGGGCGGGGCAACAGCGCCACTGCCTGGTGCCATGATTGCAAGCGGGACGGCCAGAGGATGTTTTACATCTGGTGTGGAGGAAAACATTTCACACCGCGTGTTTCAAACCACCAGCCCTGGTGGTGTTTAGACCTTCTGGGAAGAACGGGCGCACGGGGACGGGAGGGGCGAAGGGGATGGTTCGGGAGGAGTGAGGATGATGATGAAGATGATGATGATGATGATGATGATGATGATGATGATGATGATGATGATGATGATGATGATGATGATGATGATGATGATGATGATGATGATGATAAGGAGGAGGAGGAGGAGGAGGAGGAGGAAGGGGGAGGAATTAGAGTCTAGGAGGAGCAGGAGGAGTAAGAGGAGGAGACGGAGGAGGGCTGGTGTAAACCCAAGAATCATCGACGATGTTGGCATAACCCCCCTCCAAGCTCTCTCTTCATAGGCCCCTACAAGGGTTCATTTCTACTGAAGGTACTACTTCGTTGGAAGACAACCGTTTGAAGACCCTGAAGCATGCCAAAGCATGATTCTCGGGACTCCAACGCCACGGATCAACCTGACTATTGCGTCTTGACGATCCTGAATCGCGCCGGAACGCCATTCCTTGCACCAGTACTCTGCGAATCAACATAGCGGTTGCGCCCTCATAACCTTGAGTCTTTCCAGAACACCAGTTTTGGTGCGCTGACCATTGGAATTCGTGAAGCCCTTGCAATTTGTAATAAGGAATGCGCTCGGCGCTAAGGCGAGAGGCACATTTTGAAAAAGAGCCGCCCTCAATCCGTGAAGCTCTTGCACATTTTGAAAACGAGCGCACGCGGCGCTAAAGCGAGAGCCACATGTTGAAAACGGCGGGCCCTCAATTCGTGCAACTCTAGCAATTGTGTGCAACAAATGTGCGCGGCGCCAAGGCGAGAGCCACATTTTGAAAACGACCCATCCTCAATTCGTGAAACGCTGCAAGCGTTTAAAACGAAAGTGCGCGGCGCTAAAGCGCGAACTACATGTTGAAAACGGCCCGCCGTCAATCCGTGAAGCTCTTACGATTCGTTTGAAAGGACGTGCGCGGCGCTAAAGCGAGAGCTACATTTTGAAAACGACCCGCCCTCAATCTGCAAAACTCTCGCGAAGTTTGAAACCGAATGTGCGCGGCGCTAAGGCGAGAGCCACATGTTGAAAACGACCCGCCCTCCATCTGTGAAGTTGTTGTCATCTTTAAGCTTCAGCGTCGTAAATGATGAGGAAGTCTCAGGCGAAACGCCCCGCCCGCCCCTTCGACTGGCCTCGGGGTGCGACAGGAGTTATTTCTAAGCAAAATAAATGGTGGAGGAGGAGACGGAGAAGGAGGAGGACGACGAGCATGAGGGGAGGACAAAGCATGTGGAGGAGGATGCGGAGGTGCCGAAATGTGGCGTTTGTGTTTTCGCGTTTGTTTGATGCGGCGGGCGAGGAGGGGGAGGAGGAGGAGGAGGAAACGGAGGAGAAGGAGGACGACGAGCATGATGGGGAGGGAGGACAGAGCATGTGGAGGAGGATGCGGAGGTGCCGAAACGTGGCGTTTGTGTTTTCGCGTTTGTTTGTGTGTTGCGGCGTGTGGGGAGGAGGAAGAAGAAGAGGAAAAGAAGGAGAGGAGGGGCAGATACTTCCAAAGGGGGACATCTTTTTCAAGGGTGGATACCCAAACGCCCAGCCTGGACATGTCGGGGTTCCTTGCTGTATTGGGGGGAAGTTGTTCACGATTCGATTCGTGCGACAATGCTTGGCAATGGCTGCGCTTGGCCTCTGTCTCTTCGACTACGGCAAGTTCGTGTAGCGTCTACGCGGCGGCGACCTCACCGCGGGCGATCAATCTTGCGCGCAGCCTGTGGCACAGAATCCGTCAAGATGGAACGAAACGGTGATCGGAAGGCCGCTGGTCATTCGAGGTTGAAGGATCCACGCTATGTGAGACACCAGCGCTGTGGTTGTCACGACGCGGACCTGCCCTATGGAGGTGGTGGAGGGGGGGGTGCTCGCTTGCTGGGTCGCCTCTTCCTACCCAGGGAAGCCAAAACGTCGCGGACGCGGGCCTTTCACTAACCAAAAGAGCTAAAGCTGCAGGTTTCCGCGTGATCCCTTCCGCCTGGAACTCCATCCCATTCATATTGGGAGGTATTGTTGCCTTCGGCCTCATAGTTTATCTGCCTTCTCCCCGTAATATGAATAAGCATTCGTTCTTCGCCTCCTCCTCCTCCTCCTCCTCCTCTCCTCCCGAGGTCAGAAACCAATGCTGGCGATGTCGTGGCACGAACTTGCCACACTCGCCCCCAAGGGCGGCCTTCCGCCTCCACCAGCTGACCTCCGAGGCCACCCGCAGGGGCACGACGGACAAGAATCGCTCTTCGGGCATCGCGGCCTGGGCCAGAGATCAGCAGCACCTTGACGGGTGCTCACTACGGTCAGGAATTTTGGCGCAGCGTGTCGTTCCGCAGGTTGCGGTTCACCGCCCTTCGGGGTGACACGCTGCCCTCTCCGAGCGTCAACGTCCCGAGCCTTTCCAGGCCTCCCGCCCCACCGAGCGGAGCGACACGCTATGAGCTCGCAAGGCATAGCGTGTCGCTGGGGCCGCCGCGGCGACACTCTATTCAAAAGTTCCCGACCGTACAAGGTATTTTGGAAATCCGCCGACAGTTGCAACTCTACGGCCTCTTCCGCGCATTGTAGCATTGGCCGCACCGGGAATGCTTGGGTTCACCGGGTCGCTGGCCGCAGTTCAGTCAAGACGCCGAAGGAAGGACCATCTTCGGATCAGGAGGAGCTCTTGTTTTCGGGCCGCTCCGTAGACCTGGGTCGGGGAGAGCATTTCTGGGCGAGGCCCGCCGTAGCAGGAAAAAACCCTTCGTTTCTTATCCAGCGATCCTCATGTTAGCACGATGGGTCTACCCGTTAGTGGAGTACCCGTCAGGGGGCGTTGAGGAGAATTGCACCTCTCCAGGAGGGAGCGGCGCGAAGGTGCTGAGATGCTCTCGCCTCACGCTGCGCGAGGCGCGAGGTTTCGGGCGACCTGGGTAGACAGTTGGAGTTCTTGCCAATCAGGAGCTAGACTGAGTAATGGGGCCGCGCGGAGCGCGAAGTGAGCCGACCTACGTAGCTGTCAGAAGAGAGGGGGGTCCCGATCCCGCTGCCCTTCCTTCAGCTTCGCCGTCTTGGGCCTCCTGGGAGGCCCTCGTCATGACAGCTGGATTCGCTCCGAAACCCTTGTCAGAACACACCCCGTGAGAGGTCCCAGGAGAAGCGGCATTGTTCAAGGGCGCCCTCGAGTGCGCGAAGTTACTCGCGCTTCGCGGTTCGGCTTCGATTTCTCCTCCTCCTCCTCCTCTTCCCCCCTGGGAGGCGGCGCGAGAGCGCGAAGTTATTCGCACTTCGCACTTCGCGCTTCGCGCAGCGCGAAGCGCGAAGCGCGAAGCTGGGAGCCATTGGTTTTTCTCTTCCCCGTATAGGGCCCGAGTCGATTGGTTCGACCGTGCGAGCGACTCGACGGGCCTGCGATTCAAGGCCGGCCTCCGTGCGGCCCTGGAGGGAGGGGAGATGCGCGGACTCCTTCGCCTCCTTCGCCGCCTCCTGCCTCGCTCCCTCCTCCATGACTCCTCCTCCCTCCCTCCTCCTCCTCCTCCTCATCATCATCACCATCATCATCATCATCATGATCATCATCATCATCATCATCATCATCATCATCATCATCATCACCATCACCATCACCATCACCATCACCATCTCCATCACCATCACCATCACCATCACCATGATCATCATCACCACCATTATCAGCATCATCATCTCCATTATCAGCACCACCACCATCAGCATCACCATCATCATCATCATCATCATCGTCATCATCATCAGCAGCATCACCATCACCGTCACCGTCACCATCACCATCACCACCACCACCATCATCATCATCATCATTATCATCATCAGCATCATCATCACCATCATCAGCAGCATCAACATCATCATCATCGTCATCATCATCAGCAGCATTACTATCACCATCATCATCGGCATCGTTATCGTCATCACCATCATGACCATCACCATTATCATCACCACCACCACCATCACCACCCTCATCGTCATCAGCTATAAGTCAGACCATCGTCATCAGCAGCAACCTTACCACAATCATTATTTTCATCACCATCAGCAGCATAATCAGCATCGCCATCATTGTCATCATCGTTTGCATCGTCAACATGATCACTATCATCATCATCCTCATCATCACCACCATCATCATCACCACCACCATCATCATCATCATAATCATCTTGGCCGCTCTCCTGGTGTTTCTTCGCAGCCATTCTGGCTCAAGCGTGGGCCCACTGGTGCCCCCCGATTTCCCTCAGAGAGTCATCCGTTCCAGGTCTTCCTCCAGCCGCCGTTGGGGTTTCGCTGCCGGCGAATGATCGGCATCCTGTTGCAGCTGCTCGGCATCGGTCTGCCGGGCGAGGGCTGCTTTGCTGTCCTCCTCGGCATCTTCGCGGCGACCTGCGCGTTCTGCGGCCTCTACAGGAGATCTTTTTTTGATTGCACTGGGCGATGACTGGCGTTACGGACGGAGGGACCGGTAACGTCACGTTTTGCGCCAGCGCCGTCTGGGAATGTTTAGGAATGCTTTCCACCGTGGACCGCAAATAGTGTGCTTCTAGCCATACATGTTGTGCAATATATGGAGATACTTGGCGCAATGTAGTCCATGTTGTGCAATCTGCGTTGTCCAACACATTATATGCAATCTTTGTTGGGCTGTCTATGTGTTGCAATCGACGCGGGACAATTCACCCTGCCGAACTTGCAGTTGTCAACTCCACTGCTCGCGCAATCATCCCACCCACCCAGATCTTGGTTTACAAAACCCATGCGGTGGCGATTGCGATGAGCTGGCTGACACATCGCTGTGGCCGCGCTAGCGCGCGCAGGCTCGCGCGCAGAGCGGCAGTTTTGCGCGCGCCGGCCGCTGGTGAATTCCCAGCGCGCTTCGCAGGCCACGCCGACGCGCGGGCACTTCAGTGCGAGTCGGTGGCTCGGGCGGACGCAGTATCATGGCGACGTCGACAAAGGGCAGGCACGATGATCATAGTAGCGATGTTCGTGAGGATGATGACAATGTCGGCGGCAAGGCCAACGCCAGCGCCGATGCGAATCTCGTCGATGACGATGAGTGTGTCCGCGTGTCGGTGATGAAGGTTTATGAAGGATTTGGACATGCACGCGCGGCCGACGTGCGCAAGTGGATGCATGATTTAATTTGACAAGGACCGTCCCCCCCACTACGCGCGCAACCGCGTTCGAATGATTTCGACATCCCCCCGCGAAATGCCCGTTTTGTCGCACTTCCTGAGAGCATTTAGAACATTTTGCTTTCGTTAGAACTCGCAAGAGCGCGCGCATACGTCGTTGAAAAACCACAGTGTCAAACCATTTGTTTTCAAATGTTTCCTGGTCTCTCGATTTCGAATTCCGCACGAAACGTGCTGTCCCGTATTTACGGCGTTCGCGCGCGACGACGCGCGCGTGTGCATTTCGTCCCATTCTTCGCGAAGGATTATTGCAAACGGATGGGTTTTGATAAACTAGTGCGTGCGCATCGTATTCTTTGACGAGGATGGTGAGGGTGGGGGCCCCGTCTAGCTGAATGGTATGAATTCGTAGTTAGAACCACATGTGATTTGCACATCCCTAGGGTGGATTGATAATCCGGGGGGAGGGGTATATTTGATTTCTTTACGAAAGGAGAGTCTTCGTTGAGTAGTTGACTTTTGTTCGCAGCGAGTCGTCCATTCCGTTGCTCGTGCAATCATCACACCCATCCATGTACAATTTGGTTTGCAACGCCCTTGCGGCGGCGATTGCGATGACTGTTTGGCGTTGGTTGGTTGGCACGTCGTTGCGGCCGCGCTAGCGCGCGCAGGCTCGAGAGCAGAGCGGTCACCTAGTTTGGCGCGGCCGACGCGGCCGTGTCGGCGCTGATCGCTAAGGATTGCCCAGCGCGTCTCGCAGGCCGCGCTGACGCGCGGGCATTCCAGCGCGAGTCGGTGACTCGGGCGGGCGCGGTGTCATGGCGACATCGGCAACGGCAGACACGATGATCATGGCGACGATGTTGCTGACGATGATGATGATGATGATGATGATGATGATGATGATGATGATGATGATGATGATGACGACGAAGGTATGGCCGATGACGGCGCTGGTGCTGATCACGCTGATGACGATGATGGCGTCCACGTGTAGGCGATGGAGGTTTTGGAAGGAGTTCGACATGTGCGCGCGGTCGACGGGCGCGAGTGGCCCTCATGGTGTTCTTTGCCGGGGACCGTGCCCCTCGGTTCTCGAGAGGGCGCCGCGGCCGTCATTTTCCAGGCTTGCGCCCGCCAGGTTTGGGCCCGAGGTCGTTTTCACTAAACCACGTTTTGCTAAAGGGAAATCTGTCCATCCCCGATTCAGATCTGAGGAGTGAGGCTCAGGGGATTGGTCAAAAGGACCTGAGGACACACCCACTCCGTGCCCAGCGGCACGGTGGCGGATGTTGTGCACAATGTATGGTGCGATGCGCAGCACCCCGCAGGTGCGGATAAGAGTGAGGGGGCGGTGGGGACGTCGGCAGTTTGCGAGACTCCGGAGAAGCCCGCCGCAGGCGCCAATGTTTCACAAATTATACAACAAACCCGCCGCGGGCGCCGATTTTTTCGTTAAACCAATGTGGGTACGTCGCGGGTGGGTCGTTGTTGGGTCGCGGGTGGGTCGCGGGTGTAGAGGAGGGAAAATCCACCCCGTAATAATCACCTCGACAAGCGAAGCCGCTTAGTAAACGCACGCAACGAATGAATCGAACAGGGCAGGGCTGTTTAGTCAATGGCCAGGGCCGTTTAGTAAACGTCAATTGTCGGGTCCGGGTGTTCTTTCCCTCGTTGAGGGTGGGTCGCGGGATGGGTCGCGGGTGGGTCGCGGGGTGGGTCGCGGGTGGGTCGCCGATGGGCCGGGGTGGGGGCACGCAGAATCTGCGTGTCACGCGGGCCCCGCCAGGGGGTGCGGACACGCAGAACCTGCGTGTCGCACGCCAAGGGTCCTGGGGGCCGGGGTGGGGACACGCAGAATCTGCGTGTCACGTGGGCCCCGCCAGGGGAGCGGACACGCAGAACCTGCGCGTCGCACGCCAAGGGTACTGGGGGCCGGGGTGGGGACACGCAGAATTTGCGGGTCACGCGGGCCCAAAATCTGCGCGTCGCACGCCGGGAGCCCGGGGGCCGGGGTGGGGACACGTAGAATCTGCGCGTCACGCGGGCCCCGCCAGGGGGGCGGACACGCAGAATCGTGTCGCACGCCAGGGGTCCTGGGGGCCGGGATGGGGACACGCAGAATCTGCGTGTCACGCGGGCCCAAAATCTGCATGTCGCACGCCGGGAATCCTAGGGGCCGAGGTGGGGACACGCAGAATCGCCCGTCACGCGGGCCCAAAATCTGCGCGTCGCACGCCGGGGGTCCGGGGGCCGGGGTGGGGACACACAGAATCTGCGTGTCACGCGGGCCCCGCCAGGGGGGCGGACACGCAGAATCTGCGTGTCGCACGCCGGGGGTCCTGGGGGCCGGGGTGGGGACACGCAGAATCTGCGTGTCACGCGGGCCCAAAATCTGCGCGTCGCACGCCGGGGGTCCGGGGGCCGGGGTGGGGACACGCAGAATCTGCTTGTCACGCGGGCCCCGCCAGGGGGGCGGACACGCAGAATCTGCGTGTCGCACGCCAAGGGTCCTGGGGGCCGGGGTGGGGACACGCAGAATTTGCGTGTCACGCGGGCCGAAGGGCTGGGGTGGGGGCACGCAGAATCTGCGTGTCACGCGGGCCCCGCCAGGGAGGGCGGACACGCACAACCTGCGTGTCGCGCGCCAAGGGTCCTGGGGGCCGGGGTGGGGACACGCAGAATCTGCGTGCCACGCGGGCCCCGCCAGGGGGGGACACGCAGAACCTGCGCGTCGCACGCCAAGGGTCCTGGGGGCCAGGGTGGGGACACGCAGAATCTGCGGGTCACGCGGGCGCAAAATCTGCGCGTCGCACGCCGGGAGCCCGGGGGCCGGGGTGGGGGCGCGCAGAATCTGCGTGTCACGCGGCCCCGCCAGGGGGGCGGACACGCAGAATCTGCGCGTCGCACGCCAGGGGCCCTGGGGGCCGGGATGGGGACACGCAGAATCTGCGTGTCACGCGGGCCCAAAATCTGCATGTCGCACGCCGGGGCCGGGGGTCCTAGGGGCCGAGGTGGGGACACGCAGAATCTGCATGTCACGCGGGCCCAAAATCTGCGTGTCGCACGCCGGGGGTCCGGGGGGCCGGGGTGGGGACACGCAGAATCTGCGCGTCACGCGGGCCACGCCGGGGGGCGGACACGCAGGATTTGCGTGTCACGTCTACGCGACACGCCAATCCTGCGTGTCACGTCACACGGAACGCGCTCGGGGCGGCGTCGCGTAAGTAATTAAACGTGACACGCAAATCCTGCGCGTCACCCGGAACGCGCTGGGCGGCCGGGCGACGCGACACGCAGAATTTGCGTGTCGCGTAGACGTGATACGCAAATCCTGCGTGTCACACGGAACGGCGACGACGTTGCTGTTGCCGTTATTCTTGCGATCTTTTACGAACGTAAGCAGAAGCTGCGCCCTGACGCTTTGGAGACACGTTGGGCGTAGCGCTTGAGCACATGCCTTCCCGTCGGCACCTCTCATGTGCAATTCGTGGCCGGAATTGGAAATGACCGGAATTACAAATGACCGGAATTACAAATGAGTGCTCTGTAGCTCACGCGCACTCCGCCAGAAGTTTTGGTTTCGCCGGTGCTAAGAGTGAATTCAGCGTGGATTTGCGTCTTCGTTTTTCATTTTTATTTTCCTTTTTTCCCGGAAAGGGCATGGGCCCAGGGTTCTCTTTTAGTGGGTAAACCTGTCCCCCGGTGCCAACTTGAAGGAGGCCGGCGAATTTTTTCCCTGATAAATATCGAGGTCGAAGGAGGCCGGCGAATTAAAATTTGAGGATGTCTCGAGCGAAACGCTTGTTTTTGAAATCCCGATCGATAAATCACAGGGTGCGGGCCACTTTTTCGTGTGTTGAGGATGTCTCGAGCGAAACGCTTGCTCCGCAGAGTTTGCCGAGGATGTCTCGAGCGAAACGCTTGTTTTGCAGAGCCGACCGCGACGCGGAAAAGCGCCCCGCGCGAAGGAATTTCGATGATGTTTCGACTAATTTGTTTGTTCCCGGAAAGGGCGGGGGCCCAGGGTTCTCTTTTAGTAGGTAAACCTGTCCCCCGGTGCCAACTTGAGGGAGGCCGGCGAATTTTTTCCCTGATAAATAACGAGGTCGAAGGAGGCCGGCGAATTAAAATTTGAGGATGTCTCGAGCGAAACGCTTGTTTTTGAAATCCCGATCGATAAATCACAGGGTGCGGGCCACTTTTTCGTGTGTTGAGGATGTCTCGAGCGAAACGCTTGCTCCGCAGAGTTTGCCGAGGATGTCTCGAGCG